TATTCCATGGAATAGGTGTAACTGTGAAATCCATTAGTCCACGGCTACCTGGACTATCATCGTTATCTGAAAAAGTTGGTACATGAATGAATAATAATAGAAAATGTATCATTGAACGTAGATACCAGATATAGAATAACTTTTGTATACTATATTTAAAAAATCTGTTTTTCCTTTTAGTCTGTGTAGAGCTTCTGAAAAGGTTGGAAAAGTCCTTGGATCCTGAAATGAAAGATAAGCCAGCCCATATAGAAAAGAAATTTAAAGAGATGTGTAAAGATACCAAAAAGTCTGAACAAAGATTTGTACGTAACAATATTAACTTCCTTCTATTATCTGATATAATAATGTTTGTTACTTAACAATTCTGACTAACAAAACCTTTTCTACGTGTAAAACTATAAAATCTTTAATATATATAGCTAATTGATAGTTTTATTTGGGTACTTAAAGGTTGGTTATTTCTTAGTTTTAGTTTGACACAAATGTCATTGTTAAAATAGTGTCATTTATTAATGAGTACGATGGAAATATTTCAAATAATTCCCAGTCATATTTGAAAATTTTGTAAAATCCAGTATTTGTTGTAGACTGCTCTCGGGTGTTGTACAAAATCTTGTAATATGTATAAACGTCGCTTTCTTTTTTTATTACCATTTCTTGCATCTGTTTATACAAGTAAGCTGAAAGTTTATTGTATAAGTGTATTGAGTAGAACATTAACTGACTTTATTAGCCCTCTAGTGAAAACTTGTTGAAGTATTATTTTTCTGCAGTTTAGTTGTAATTAACTAAAGGAAATTTGAGTAGTTATTTGATTTTTGCCCGAGACTGTTTGTCTCTGATTATTACCGAAAGGCTTATTTATACTTTTTGTCAAAATTCCTTAAGTAAATTCTCTTGTCTCGGTCAACTTAGTGCAGCCGAAACAACAGTTGTACTACAAAAATGTATTCTAAGATAAAAATAGATTTATAGATTTTTATTTGTTTGTGTGGACAGCAAACATGAAACTAGTTATGTTAGATATGGAATTATTAGTTAAAATACTTTAATGATATTAATTACTTGTTCTCAATTAATGTTTTCCCATCTTTACAATGTGTAAGTATGACCTTTAAGGACCAAATTGTCTTTTGTTGTTCACGTCGACACAAGTTAAACTTATTTTATAGTGAACACTAGGGAAGTTTGAACTTTTATTTTGTGATATTTAAACATTCAGGATGTTAAAATCATAAATAATATCGAACATTAAGCTGGTACACAGTTAAAAACATTTTATTTAGGCCTATCTATGGCCTTCAAAAAGTTGACAACTCTACGTGTTTGGATGTTACAACGTCATCCTCAGGATGTAACGTCGAAACACGTAG